CCTAAGAATGGCCTAGAGAGAATGGCTATTGAGGCTTCAGGGGAGGGGGGGGCGGAGAGTATGGGAAGGGGTTGGGAGAAAGTCCCAGCTGGAGCAGCTGGAGCAGAAGCCATTCTCTTAAGAGAGTCCCGGGGGGTCCCAGCCCTGCTGGGTGCTGCAAAGACCTAAGATGCACCCTTATAACTCCGTGTGCAGTACCTGACGTGTGATGAAACATTTATCACCCTCCTGCTATGCAGAGGCCTCAGGCTGGGGAGGAAGCCAGGCCAGCAGGAAGGGGTGCTAAGAACAGAGGGGGAACGAGTGGCACTCTCTGGGCACCCACTGTGTGCCAGGCCCGGCATCCGTTGTGTCACAAAGCCCTTGAAACAGTCCTTCAAGGCTGGCCTCCGTCCCTGTCTGACTGAAGAGGGAACTGACACCAGGAGGGGGCGCATCCTCTCGGCTCTGTCCTGTCGATCAGCGTTTCTGGACTGCCTACTGTGTGCCAGGTACTGTTCTAGGTACCGGAGAGTCAGCAGAGGACAAGCCCAGTGAAGTGCTTGCTTCTCCAGAGCTTGACTTTCTAGTAGGAAGCAACAAATTAACAAATGAACTAGTGACTAAATGAGATGCTTAGATTGTGTTGCTCTTGTCAGAATCAGCCGCGCTCACCTTGCTAAGTCTCTCCCTCCTCACTCTGACCTCTGAGTACTTACTATGAGCCAGGCCCTGTTCTAGGCACTGGAGAACACAGCCGTGAACCAAAGAGGCCTTGGGGACCTTATGTTCTATGAAGGCAGATGATAAGTAAAATAAATAAGTAAAATCTCTGGTGATAAAAGCTAGGAGGGAAAGCGAAGAAGAGAAGTGTGGAGAGAGCAGGAGTGGGGCCGAGGCTTGAGCGGTTAGACACAGCGGGCAGGCAGGGCCTCGCCTGAGTGAGCCCTGGGGGGGACGGGTGTGTAAAGCCTGAGGGCAGGAGGGGTCTGGCACGCTGAGGACCTGCACGCAGGCCAGTGTGGCTGAAGCAGAGCGAGCAGGAGAGGAGGGCAGAGAGCTGACGGGGCCTTGCAGACCCTTGTCCTGTGAGTGGAGGAGCGACATGATCTGACTTTCATTTTAAGTGGTCGCTGTGTAGGGGGTAGCTCGCTCTTGGGCAAGGGTGGAAGCTGGGGACCAGTTCAGATGGCATCGCCGTGATACAGGCAAGGTGATAGTGGCTCGGGCTAGGGTGGTAGCAATGGACATGGAGGGAAGTGGTTGGCTCCTGGATTTATTTTGAAGGTAGAGCTGAAGATAGGATGTGCTGATGGGCTGGAAAGAGAGGAGTCCAGGGCCATTCCAGAATTTTTGGCTGAGCAATTGGAAGGATGGAGGGGATCATGGGAGGAGCAGGTGTGGGGACAGGGCAAGGTCAGGAATTCAGCTTTGGATGCAGGAACCCTGAGATGCACATTAGATACCCAGGTGGAGCTGGGAGCAGGCAGGTGGACACGCTCTTCTGGGTTTCAGGTCGAGGCCAGAGATATCACTGTATGTGTGGCATTTTGTGCCCATGACTGATGAGATCATGAAACACCAAGTGCTGACAGAGCAGGGAAGAGGCCCAAGGGCTCCATCCGGGCACCTTCTGAAGCAAAGACGAGGAACCACCAATTTTATTCAGAGCTGTGTTCCCCAGTGCCTAACCAGTGCCTGGTGCAAAATAACTGCTGGGTCTGTATTTGTGAATGAATAGCTGAATGAATGAATGAATGAGTGGTGGTAAGTGCTAAGAAGGAAATAAAACAGGGTGATGAGTTAAAGAGTGCATGGGGAAGAATGGTCTTCTTTAGACATGGTGGTCAGGGAGGGCCTCTTGAGAAGGTGACATTTGAGCTAAGCCCTGAAGGACAAGGAGGAGAAGTCAGTCATGTAAAGACTTGTGGAGGGAATGGTATGTGCAAAGGCCCTGAGGCAGGAAAGCATCGGGCCTGTTGGAGGATCAGTGTGCTTGGGGCACTGTGAAGCTGGATCATGTAGGAATTTGCAGGCTCAGAACTTGGACTTTAAATCATGGGAGTCCCGGAGGGTTTTAAACAGAGGAGATAAATGATCAGGTTAATATTTCATATGATCCCTCTGAGACACATGGAGAATGTTCTGTAGGGAGGCAAGAGTGGAAGCAAGGAGAGTGTTAGGAGAGACCCAGGTAGTGGCCCAGGTCAGAGATGGCAGGGCTTGCCTGGATGGGGCAGTGGGAGGGAGAGGAATGGACAGATTCAAGACATTTTAGAAACAGACTGGCAGGATTGGGCTTTAAGAGTCCCTGCTTGTCCTACCCCACTGTGAAGATGTCCCCCACAGACAGAGTTGGGTAGGCCTTGGGTAGGGACCAGGACCCCAGTAGGACCAGGGGGTTTGCTCCTAGGGTCTCTCCTTAGTCATCCCAGGCTGGAAAGATGTGGCAGATGGTGGGAAGGGGTGCTGTGGCTGGCAGGGTCCTTCCATGCCAGGTCCTGGAAGGCACTGAGACCATACCCGGCACTTGGGGAGGGTCCTTTCTCCCTTTTCCTCCATCAAATGTAGACTCAGGATCCCTCCCCAAGCTGGCCCCTCCTCCAGGGCTTCCTCTGTCCAAAATTTGACACTCCCCCCACTGGGAGGTGGGACTGTGTCCCCGTCCTTGAACGTGAGCCCTGGGGCTCTGATAGGATGCAGTGGATGTGATGCTGAGCTAGGTCGCAGGCCCAGGCCTTGAAGTGGCAGCTCCTGCTTCCCGCCTCTTGGGAGCCTGACTCTGGGAACACAGCCACCATGCTGTGAGGAAGCCAAGAAGCTATGGGGAGGGACCTCGCAGAGCTGTCCCAGGCACACCCCTGGCTGAGGTTCCAGCTCACAGCCAGCATCAGCATGAGCAGATGACCGCAGCCCCCGCCTGGGAGTCGCCCCAAGCAATGGCACTTTGGAGCAGAGAAGAGCTGTCCCTACAGAGCGCCACCCGAACTGCAGATTGTGAGCAAAATAAATGATTATTGTTGTTTTAAGCCACTAAGCTTGGGGTGGTTTGTTATGCAGCAATGGGTGGCTGGGACAGCATGGCCCACCTCCCCAGGGCATACCCATCACCAAAACCACTCAGTCCTCCTTCTAAATGCCTATGAAACCCATCATGTCCTCTCCAGCTTCCCTGCCACCCTGTCACCTGGACAACTGTGTTAGCAGCCTAACAGATTGCCTTCCACTCACTCTTGCCACCACGGCATGTGTTTCCCACATGGCAGTCCAGAGAACTCACTGATTGCCCATCTGATTACCACCCCAGCCCTCCTGTCCCACTTGAAGCCCTCAGTGGCTCTCCATTCTCCTAGGATCAAGATTGATCATCCTTTCCTCCTCTGGGCTTCAGCCACACTGGTCTTTCTTCTCTTCCTCCAGTATCCCATGTTCTTTTGGCCCCAGAGCCTTTGCACATGTTGTTTCCACTCCCTGAGATGCCCACCCAGTTAACTCTCGCTCACACTTTGGGTCTGGCTCAAACATCACCTCTTCTGTGAACTGCCTCTAAGCCAGTGGTTCTTGAAATGGAGTCCCAGCATCATCATGGAACTTGTTAGATATGCCAATTCTCAGGCCCAAGCCCAGCGCTAAGGAATCAGAAGTCCTGGGGGCAGGGCCCAGCAGCCCGTGTTTAAAAAGGCCTGCAGGTGATTCTGATCCGGGCACTTGAGAACTGCTGTGCACTAAGGCCCCAGTTCAGGTCGTAGACTCCCTTCTACCACCTGCAAGTCCCTTCCCCCACCTGCAAGTCCCTTCCCTCTGGAGCTCCGCATCTGTCATCACCTAGGTCTTTGTGCGGTTGTCTGATGTCTGGCTCCCATCACAGACCAGAGCCCATACCTGGAGCTTAGGGGTTGAAGGTTGAACAGGCATTCATTGTCAGCCTCCAGGTGGTCATGGGCTTCCCGCGGTGTGGGGTAGGGGAAGGGACTGGTCCCCTTACAGATCTGGGACCCTAGAGGTGGCCAAGGGGAGGGTGAGAAAGCTTAAGAAATGAGGGGGCTTCAGCCCCTGCAGAAAAGGGTGCTGTTCAGAAGGCAGGGAAAGGGTATCCAGGGCCAGAGCTTTGCCTCCGCCCTCCCCTCCCAGCCCCTACCCTGGGGTAGCCCTCAGCTGACTTCCATTGACTGCTGAGCCAGGCCTCGTTCTGTGGGCTTTACATGCTTTCTATCATTTAATACAATAAGCTGCTGAGTTGTGTATCATTAACGTGCCCATTTTACAGATGTGACACTGAGACTCAGTGAGGTTCAGGTACTTGGCTGAGGTCAGGGCAGGGAAGACTTGACCCCAGGCTGTGTGACTGGCGCACTGCCCCTCACCATCAATGTCGGGTGGAGAACAGCTGACGGACCAGGAGGTAAGAAGCCTGAGTGCAGGGTGGCCGGCAGGCTGCATAGAGCCCCATTTGCCCGTCCAAAGGCAGCCTCAGCTGCGGCGGGTTGTGGACCTTGAGGTGGAGGCCCAGTGTTGCCAGACCTTTCCAAATTTTTAAGAATAATCAAAAGTGTGGATTTTTAATATATGGTCTTCCTGTTTCTAAATGATTACATCTTTTAGAAAATTCAGATGCTTCCAGAGACCAGATAAATGCCTGAGTCAGATGACAGTGGTGGCCAAATCCAGGGGGTGAATGGCAGCAGAGAGAAACAAGGAGACACCACAGTGCATGTATGAGGTCTCCGACCTGGCCGCAGCCCCCCTAAGTCAGTCACTGCTTCTGCCCTCTCTGGAATAGTCTGCTTTAAATCCAGGACCTGCCCTGGGTGGGATGTGGTTTCACTAACGGCAAACTGCTAATAATGACCCTTACTTTCCTGTCTCGGCCCCGACGTGGCCAGCACCATGTGGGCAGGGCTGGATCTGCCTAATCACAGCTGGGTTCCCAGCCCCAGGCCTGCATGCAGAAGGTGCTCACTAAAGGCTTGCTGATGGTGGGAACAGGGTAAGCCCTCCCCCTCTGAGCCCCTCCCCTACACCGGCTCCTCCCCTCCCCTGCCCTGGGCAGGCGGGGGCGGAGCACTGGCAGGTTAAAAGCCAGCAGCTGGGGACCTCTCCCATCCTCTCCTCCAATGCTAGGTGCCCAGCTACAGCCACATGGCTACCGCCAGCCCTGTAAGTCCACCCGCCAGCCTTCCTCGGCAAGGGACGGGGCTGGGGCGCCGAGGCCCGAGCTCACAGCACACCCCGACGCCTTTCTTTGGTCAGGCCAGAGAGGCTAAGGGTGGAATCCGAAAGTGGGAGAAGGAGAAAGAGGAAGAGGAAGAGGAGGCAGCAGTGGAGGCTTCGATGGGAGAGGCAGCTCCGAGCTCTCCCCGGGCTCTGCGGTCCCGGAGCAGGAAGGCCAGCGGTGAGGGCCCCTCGGAGGCAGGGCCGGAGCTGCACCCGCTGCAGAACAGGTAGGGCAGGCCCCAGGGCCTCGTCTGGGAAAGGCCAGAGCTGGCCGAAGACTTGCGCCCTGTTGGCCCCTCTGGCCGTAGCCCTGCCGAGAATCCCTACTCCTCCCCTTAGGATAACTGCCTCCAGTCACTTCGGGGGCCAGTTTGTCCTTGAAGGGGCAGGACTTCCCTGTCAGCCTAGGTGCTGCTGGGGGTGGGAGTGAGGGTCTCTCTACTTTCTCCTGCCACCCCTACCCCCAGGTGGGCTCTGTGGTTCTTCAAGAACGATCGCAGCCGGGCCTGGCAGGACAACCTCCATCTGGTCACCAAGTTTGACACCGTGGAAGACTTCTGGGCGTGAGTGTCTGCCCCTCATGAAGGAGGCCGGGGCCAGGGGCTCTGGGCTCGAGGTCCTTCCCAGACTCCTCCAGGGGGCTGCTTCCTACACACCTTTCCCAGGACTCCCCGGGGCCTGCAGTGCTTGCTGAGGGCTGGGCCTTGCTGGGTTCTGTGGGAGGTGGCGAGGGCATTGGGGCACAGGCCCTCCGAAGCCTTCTTGAGGATTAGGGAGAGAGCCCGGAGGTGGGAGAAGCAAGGAGTAGACCCTACTCTGCCACTCCATGCTTTGCAACCCTGGGCAAGTTCCTTCCCCTCTCTGTGCTTGTCTCGGCCACAAAGTGAGGATTAGGCTGCCTCAGAGTGTCTGTGGTGACAAGTGAGGGAATCTGAAAGGCGCTGTGCAAACCCTAGGGGCGGGTGAGGCGCCCCAGGGCTCCAGCTGGAGAGGTGCCCGCCCCAGGGTCTAAGAGCCACCCCACGGGCTTGGAGGGCCAGGAAGGCTCCAGAGAGGAGGTGGGGCTGGAGGCTTTGGGTCAGGAGGGATGGAATTCCAGGCAGGGTGCAGCAGTGTAGGCAAAGGCTTGGAGGTGGGAAGGTGCGTGGGAAGCAGTGGGGTCTGAGGCCGGCTGGAAGCAGGCCCTGAGAAGCCTGGCCTCACCCTGGGGCGGGGGCTCTCTCCAGGATGTACAGCCACATCCAGCTGGCCAGTAACCTCTCTTCTGGCTGTGACTATGCCCTGTTCAAGGTAAGCTCTGCTGTCCCCCCCGGCCCAGGGGCCTGATTCTTCCCGGCTTCTGCATCCTCCCTCATGGGGTTGGGGGTGGGGTGCCGAGGACAGCCTCCCTTGGAGCAAAGATATGATTTCTGATGGGAGGAAATGCTGTACTGAAGCTTGGACAGTGTTATGTCTGAGCTGCACCCTGGAGGATGTTTAAGAGTCTGGAAGGGGAGGGGAGAAGGGGGAAGGAGGAAGGAGCCCGGGTTTCTGGCCTGGCTCCTTAACTAGGGACAGGCATCAAACTGCCCCAGGACACTCGTCATCAACGTCCAGGCCCCTCCCTAGAGGTATGTGCTGTGGGGCCCTGACATCAGTGTTTAAAGATTTCTCCAGGTGACTTGTGCCCTGCCAAGCCTGGGATGTGCCGTTGCCTACACTAGGAACACCCAGAGGTGTCCTTGATCACTCCCATTTGAACGCTTGTCACAAGGAACTTGGTTCAGTAAAGGAGAGAAACACACACATATGAACACCTATAAAAGGTGACACATGTTGAGGCTTGGGCCTGCGGGAGCTCAGAGAAGGGGCTGGGGGGCTGAACGGCTGGTGGTGGAACCCGTTGTACAGAGGGGATGGAGGCACAAGAGACCTGGGCCTGTGGAGGCCTGTGGAGGGGCTGGAGCAGGCCCTGGGAAGGTGGTTGGGCCTCCACTTCCCTTTGAACAGAGGGAGGCAGTTGACTTGCCGTCCACCTCCCAGGATGGCATCCAGCCCATGTGGGAAGACAGCAGGAATAAGCGGGGTGGCCGCTGGCTGGTCAGCCTCGCCAAGCAGCAGCGCCACAGTGAGCTGGACCGCCTGTGGCTGGAGACGGTGAGTGTGGGAGCTGGAAGAGGAGGGTCCCCAAGGGAGGGGGCAGGGCTGGTCTGAGTCCCCCGGAGGCAGTGGCCTCAAGGATGGCAATCCGTGTGCCACAGCTGAAGGTATCATCATCCTCTTTGGCCCCAGCTGCTGTGTCTGATTGGGGAGAGCTTTGAGGAGCACAGCCGGGAGGTGTGTGGCGCTGTTGTCAACGTCCGCACCAAGGGGGACAAGATTGCCGTGTGGACGAGGGAGGCAGAGAACCAGGCAGGCGTGCTGCACATTGGGTAAGGGGCGTCTCTGGCACAGGGTGGGGGCTGGGGCTCTTGTAGGGAGAAGGTGAAATGGGGGGTGGTTTGGCCTGCAAGAGAGACCTCTGGAACTCTCCATGCCATCTCCTGCTCCTTCCTTATCCACCTGTATAGAGGGTTTGGAATCTAGATTTGAAACTATTTCTAGCAGAACACTTTTCTTTTGCCTTAGAGTCATGTTTTGGGTATACATGTGGGTAAGACTACAAAACAGGAGTGACTGGCTGGAACCAGGGTAGGAGCTCTGGGCAAAGGACGCAGGGTCCCGGGTTATCTCCAGGACCCGCTGCTGACTGCTGTCTCACTTCCTCTCCCACTCACCTCAGGCGTGTCTACAAAGAGCGCCTGGGCCTCTCCGCAAAGACCATCATCGGGTACCAGGCCCACGCAGACACAGCCACCAAGAGCAACTCCCTAGCCAAGAACAAGTTTGTGGTGTGAGGGGCCTTGGCACCACTCCCCATACAGCGTCCCTGAGCCTCTCCCTGCTGTCTGTGTGTGTGTGTGTGTGTGTGGAGGGGGTGCTAGGCTACCCTGCTGATGCTGGGCAGGACTGGAGGGCAGATCACCCGGTTCTCACCTTCCTGGAGTGAATATGAACACTCTTTAACATGATTGGGGGCCAGGCCTAGGGGCAGCTCTGGGGGAGGGGCCAGCCTGGGGACTTGGGGCAGCAGAAAGGGGAGGACACCTCTGGGTTTCCTTGTCTCACCCCGGGGTGGGTGAGTGGGTGAGGTGAGTCATGCTGGGAAGGAGAGCTCAACCGCAGGTGGAAAGATGACAGGAGAGAATCCTCTGATCCAGCACTTACTCCTAAGTGGGCTAGGGGGCCTGAGGGCCAGACTCTTCTATTGGGGGGGGGGGGGGGGGGGCTCAAGGCCACCGACACTGAGAGCTGGAGTGCAGGGACAGGAGTGGGGGACATTTCCTCTTTGTGATCACTCTGCTTATAAACCTTTGTGGGTTGCCTCTCTGCGGATTTGTGTCCTAAGAGCCCAGCCTGTCCCCCATCCCTTCCTGGAGTGTGGTGACCCCACACCCCAAGGGCTGGAGGGTGAGAGGCGAATGTGGTCTCACAGAGGGATACGTGGGGGCTGGAGCTCTCGCCCTTTCCTCAGCTGTGGCCGGGGTCTGGGCCTTGCCTGCCTCCGGGCTAGGCTGAACCAGAGGTGGGTGGAGGGGGCTCACCAAGGGGAGGAGGACAGTGGTGGTCAGGCCTCACCATGGTTCTGCTAGAGGTGGGTTAACTTAGCTCCTTTATTCCTGTTCTAAATAAATACTCACTTTGAACAAAATTGGAGTGGTTTTTAAGGAGGGCTCTAAAATTGAGTAAGATTCATGCCCCCAAAATCTTGATCTGCTCCTGTCCTGCCTTGGAGGGACTCATGTGAGACTCCCAGTTTCCAAGACTCAGGGCCCAAGCTGGTATGCGGAGAGGGGTAAGACTGGAGGGCTTCAACCACCAAAGTGGTGTGAGCCAGGGTGTGGGGTATCTGCCTCTGCCCAAACTGAAGGGGCAAGGAGCAGCGGGCATGGCACCCGCAAGACCCAGGTGTCATCCGGCCTGAGCGCGAGCCAGGATAGGTAGGGCTGGATTTCTTTTGAGTGAAACACACAACTGAATCGACTGCACTGTAATAAAGTGTCCTGCACGTGTGTGAAAAACACGAGCCGAATCACCATCTCCATCCGCTCACCAGCTCAGTGGTTACTCCTCTTCAGGGATGGGTTCCGACAGCAAGGCCGGGGACAGGGTGGCGCTGGTACTGAGCTTTGCGGGCTGAGGGGAACCGGAGTCCTTGGTGCCTGTGGTTTGCGGGGCCATCAGGAAGCGTCTCAGGCGAGTCCAAGCCATCCTGGGCAGCTCGGGGCAGCTGCCTGCGCAGGGGACGGAGCCTAGGGCAGGGGCGGAGCCAGGCACAGAGGCGGGGCTCCGAGGGGGCGGAGTTGGCGGGGGCGGAGCCAGGCCTGGAGGCGGTGCGGCTCCGAGGGGACCCCGCTGGCGCGGAGCGGGGCGGTCCGGGCGCCGGGGCGGTCCCTGCGGGGTGGGCGGGGCCCGACGGGCGCTCTGTGTGGCCGCGGCCATGAAGCCGCAGCCGCCGGGCTAGGCCCCGGGCGGCGCTAGCCCAGGGCGGCCCGCGGAGGGCTGAGCCCGGCCGCCGGCTCCGGTTCCCGGGCCGGCGGGCGGCCGCTCACCATGCCCGGCAAGCACCAGCACTTCCAGGAACCCGAGGTCGGCTGCTGCGGGAAATACTTCCTGTTTGGCTTCAACATTGTCTTCTGGGTGAGCGCGGGGTGGGTTCTGGGCCCGGTGCTAGCAGTGGCAGGAGAAGGAGGTTCAGTCCCCTCCTACGGGGAGACCACTCCTGCCAGCAGGGCTTGGGATCGTGCCCCCATTCCTCCCGCCCACCCCAGGACCACCCACGAGAACTACAGAGAGGCCCGGATTGCAGGGGGATGGCACGGGGTGCGGTGGAGAAGCGGAGTCGCCTATGTCTTCTCTGGGCCCGGCGGAGGAAGGGGAGGCGTTTCCTTGAAGGCCCCTGGGACACGCTTGGTGCAGGTCGCCTCCTCTTCCGCCCAGCCCCCTTGCTACTCTGGGTTGTGGGGTGCGCGCGGAGCCCCACCCAACACCCGTAGGGTTTGGTTTCCCCCATAGGGAGGAAAGTGCCACGAGGGGAAGGGCTGCGTCCGCTCGCCCGTCCCTTTGCCCCTCCGGCACCTGGTCCTGCTGCCTCACTTTAAGCTCCTGCAAAGTAGGGTGGGTCAAAGCCCTGCCTCCCAGGCCCATACTAAGAGGCTTCTGGCCGGGGGACCAATTGCCCTAGTCTTCAGCGGGGGCAGGGGATCTCCCCTGCTGAGAGGCCGGGAGCTGGCCCAGGGGAACAGAATTCGACATTCCACAGCTGACAAAACCGAGGCTGGGGCCGGCTGCCCCTGACTGGGGAAGGGAGCTGGTGGTGCCCCTCCTGGGGTGGCATCTGTGCCCCTGGGCCCTGCCAAGTCATCTTTCTCTTCTCCCTCCCCCATCCCATCTCTCCAGGGCTGCATGCTGCCTCTGCAGTCTCTGCTTCTGCCGTCTTGGGTCAAAATGCCAGGCCTATTCATTTTTGTTAAGCAGACCTCAGTGGCAGTGCCCTCTCCCCACGTGCTGACCATGCAGCCACCCGTGCGTGGGTGTCCTTTGGCCCCAGCGGTGCTTAGCTCTGGAGTGTGTGGGGAAGTCTGGAGGCCTGGGCGGAGCAGGCCTGGCTGTAAGACTGAGAGCAAGTCACTTCTCTCTGGGCCTCAGCTTCCCGGCCTGGGAGGGGGTGATGGTGAAGCCTGGCCCTCAGGGTTGTTAGGCAGATTAAATGAATTCTAATTTATTGTATTCTTGAATCTACGTTATTATTATCCACATTTTACAGATGAGGGAACAGGCACAGAGAGGTTAAGTCATTTAACCTAGTCATGCAGCCAGTAAGTACAGAGTCAAAGTGACAGCCTAGTGGGCAGTGGGTGGAGGTGAGGCAGAGAGCACTGAGCAGAGGGAGCCCCGGAATGCCAAGCGGAGACAGGCATGAGAGACTTAGGCTTGTTCCAGGGCTCCCTAGGCAGGGGACTGGAGGTGGGGAACTGGAGCACGGAAGGCCCCCAGGGCTGGAGCCGAGAATTGGAGTTTTATGTTGAGGGCAGTGTGGAGCAAGGAGGGCTTCAGTGGGAGGTGGTGGGTCTGTTCTAGCAGATCTGTCTGGCTGCTGTGGGGAGGGTGGATGAGAGGCAGGGCTTGGAGGTGAGGAGACCAGGGAGGAGGGCTGGGGCAAGCTGGGGGAGGGGGGAGGTGAGGAAGGCTCCAGGGGGAGTTTTGAGGCTGAATTGACAGGACTGGGCCACTTGGGGGGCAGAGGGAGGGTTTCAGGTTTGGGTAAAGGTGGCCTGCGGGAGGTGCCTAGGAAACAGGTCAGAGGTTTTTGTGTTTTAATGTAAAGCAGACCCTGGTGTTGGCCTGCACAGAATCAGTGAGAACTGGTGGTTTCTCACTCATTAGAACATGGCCCAGACTCCTCCCCACGGCCTCCAGCGCCCCATAGGGTCTGGCCCTGCAGCCCTCAGTTTATCCCTTGCACCACCAAACATGATCTTACCTCATGGTCTCTGCCTGTGGTCTCTCTGCCTGAATTCTCGTCTCCTCGCTCCAGCTTTTCATCCTTCAAACCTCAGCTAAAATGTCACCACTTTCCTAACACCCTCTGTAAAGCAGCCCCACCGCCCCTGGGCCCTCCCCATTGCATCACCCTGTTGGATTTTCTTGCAAGGATCTGTTGGAGTCTGAAATTACCTCGTTGGCTCACTGTAGGTTTCCCACACTGGAGTGTAAACTCCGTGAGGGCTGAGAGCTCATCTGTGCTATTCGCTGATCTATTCCCAGCACGTGGAACAGAGCCTGGGGCATGGAGGGGTTTGCAGAGGCAGGTGGACATAGGGGTTTGGAGCCAGGGAGAGGTTTGGGTGGACATCCGGGAGATGCCAGTGTCATGATGGAGTGGAAAATGAGTGCGAGGAGGAGGAGGAAGGGCAGGAGGCTGAGGGCGGAACCTGGGGGGCGGGCATGTGCGCGGGGCAGGTGAAGTGTGTCCTGGGAGGGAGGCTGAGAAGCGGCAGGGGGAAGGAATGGTACTGAGTTAACCATGAAGAGGCTCAGGAAGGAGAAAGTGGTGGTTGGTCACCTGTTTAAAGGCTCAGATGGGATGAGGCAGGAGAAGTGATGTTTGGTTTCACATCCCAGATCCAGTGTGGAGGAGGGAAGAAAAGACGTTTCTAGAGAAAGAGTACAGCAGTGGGAGGAGCCTGGGATCCAAGCAGGGAAGGGATGAAAGTGGGTGGGCATGGGTGCAGGTGACCAGAGCTGACCAAGGCTGTGTGCTGAGGGGAAGCAGCCTATAGAGAAAGCAGGTGGGTAGGGGAGGGCTGCAGAGCAGGAGGGGGGCTTTTCCTCTGAGACTGGATATCCAAGAGTCTGCCCAGGGTCAGGCAGCGGCCTTGACCTCCAGGGCTCATCCCAGTAAGGAATTAAGGCAGGATGGTGGGTGGTGTCTAGAAGGCCTAGGCAGAGCTGTGGCCAGATGTTTTCTAGGACACAGCCACTGGCCCAGGTTGGGGCCCTCAGCTGGATCCTGCTGTGCATCGAGGTTCCTTGTCATTCAGGGGTCTTTGGTTGGACTCTGGCAGAGGGAGGTTGAAATGGTGGGTGGAGGTGGGGTGGTGGGCCCAGTTGTAGGGTAGGAGGGCTGGATTTGGGAGGGGGCAGAAAGGAGGTAGGAGCCCAGAACTCAGCACGGGCCTGGGGTGGGAGCAGAGGCTCAGGACACTGCTGCTGCTGCTCGGCGGGAGTGTCTCAGCCACCCTCTGCTCTAGTTCTGAGTTCCAGGAAGGGCCCCTGATGTCCATCCCAGGGCTAGGGAGGGTTCAGTCTTCCAGGCGGTGTTCTATGGGGAAGGAGCACTGGGATGTGTTCTTGGGAAGATGGAAAGGACCCTGGATCCCATTTACAGCCCTGTCCCCTCTTCCTCTCTCTCCCCCTGGCTTCCTGAAGACCCTGAGCACTAGTGGGGAGGGGGCTCTGTTGGGAGTGGGGAGGGCTGTTGGTGCCTCACCCTCAGCTCTTTGCTGCTGCTTCTGCAGGTGCTGGGAGCCCTGTTTCTGGCCATCGGCCTCTGGGCCTGGGGTGAGAAGGTAAGATGGTGGGATAGGGTGTGGGGCTGCTATGGGTTGCAGTGGGGGGAGGTCAGCCCGCCCACTTGCCTCTGCTCCTCCCGGCACAGGGCGTTCTCTCCAACCTCTCGGCGCTGACAGATCTGGGAGGCCTTGACCCCGTGTGGCTGTTTGTAGTAGTGGGAGGCATCATGTCTGTGCTGGGCTTTGCTGGCTGCATAGGGGCTCTCCGGGAGAACACCTTCCTGCTCAAGTTTGTGAGTGCCCCCCTCACCCACCCACCCACCGCCTAGATCCACTGGGGACCCCAACTTCCTCCCAACCACTTCTTGCATATAGTTTGTGCTTAATAATGGGTACTTTTATTATTATGTTATTATAACAATAATCAGATTCGTATTATCTGTATTTATAGGATCTTTTCTGTTCTAAGTGATTGAAACCCAGTGGCCTAAGCATAGAAGGGTATTTATGGCTCATTAAGAAAAGCCCAGGGGTGTACTGGCCACTGGTACCTTTGGGTCCACCATTGTGTCACTTGGCCTGGTCTCTGTTTGTTAGCTCTGTCCCTCTGGGTTGGCTCCACCGTGGTGGAAGGATGCCCAGGAACGGGCGGGTGGCGGGTGCTGGGTTCACGCTTCCCTCCTAGGAAGTCCTCCTAGAGGCGGATGCTCCCTCTTCCCGACCCTTCTGCCGAGTCCTTTAATTGCATCTCCTTGGTTCTGATTGGCCAGCTCTGGACCAATCCCTGCGGCCCCCGCGGGCGGGGGCGGGGAGGCGGGGGGGGGAGGGGAGTGCTCTCATTGGTGGGGTCCTGCGCATGCTCAGCTGTCTCTCTGGGAATGAGGAAAGAGGTGGAGGTGTCTGCGTTTGAATCACGTAAACTGAATATGTGTGGAGGGTGGTTTCTTGAAGAAAACGGGGTGAGTAGCAGAGGAAGGGGAATGGATGGGTAGGTGAGAGCAGCATGTTCTTACCACCATAAAATAATAGTAACGCAATTGAAAGTGGGAATTGGGCTGTCTTGGGGTCCGCTCTGTCCTGTGGCACCCTCAAGCCCTGTGTCTTTGACCCCTGTGTCTGTTTGCCCCAAACCCCAGTTCTCCGTGTTCCTTGGCCTCATCTTCTTCCTGGAGCTGGCGACAGGGATCCTGGCCTTTGTCTTCAAGGACTGGATTCGAGACCAGCTCAACCTCTTCATCAACAACAACGTCAAGGCCTATCGGGACGACATTGACCTCCAGAACCTCATTGACTTTGCTCAGGAATACGTGAGTCTAGCGTCCAGCAGGGGCCATGTGCAGGAAGCACCTGCCAGGCAGATGAGTGATGGAGCAAGGTCCCTCTTGGGACCATTCCCTGGCCAACCTAGGCCAGGCAGACCCCAGGGAAGAGAGCCAGGAGTCCCCTTGTCCAAGGGGAAGCCAGCTCCTGGTGATCCCTGCGGGTCAGCATGTGCCTAGCCCTGCAGGGACACGGGATTGGGGAAGAGAAGCCAGAGGCTCCGCACTAGAATCCTAGGCCGGGGCATATAACACACTTACAGGAGGAAATTTGGGTTAAAAATATAGATTTCCCCTCTACTAAACCCTGGGCCCACAGTGTTGGCCAGGGCTGCATTGCCACTGTCTCCTTTGCTGGCACAAGGGCTCTCTGCTTGCCACCGTCCCCGCCACTGTATTTTATTACACCTGTCAGCCCCCTTCTCTTGTTTATATCATTTATTTGGCCTCTGAACATATTAGAGTTTGAGACCCCCGACGGAAGCTCTGCCCTGAAGCTTGCAAACCTAACCCTTGTGAAAAAGCAGTCAGTGAACAGTTCATGACGTGCTAGACACCTCCCGCCTGCACAGTCTCTCCCACTCACGCCCTCAGTCACACCCACTCACACCTGCGTACACAGTCACATACCTTTGACATCACCCCGAGAGTCTGCTCTGGGATCCAGAGATGGAGCAGAGCCGGTGCCTGCCTTGAGGAGGTCTCAGCCCAGGGCGGAAGCAGACATAGCCGGGAGGCTAGGATGGGATTTATTTGTTCTTCCAACACAGAATTGTTACAGGCCCATCACGTGCCAGGCCCTGGGCCACTGCTAGGGATTCAGTGGTGAAAAAAGCTGAGGCCTCACTGGGATGGCAGTCTGGGGAAGGAGACAGATGGTAAACAAATGTGTGTGTGTGTAAAATTATAAATTGTGGTTAGGGCTGAAATGAGGAAGGGTGGGGAAGGGAAGGCCTCAGGGGGCGACCTTGGAGGAGGGGAAGGAGGGGGCTGTGAAGTAGCAGGTGCTGAGCGGGGCATGAGGAGGCAGGCAGAGGCCAGGCTGTGTGCTGGGACCCGTGCACAGAGCCACACGGCCCTGCCTCATGCCCCCGACTCAGCCCAGGGGGCCTACCTGAGTTCACCACTGGGCTGGCTCCTCAAGGGCCGGCTTTCCAGCAGCCTGTGCCGCGTCAGCGAGTTAAGGCTACGTGCTCCTCTCTCCTCCACTCAATCATGAGCTCCTTGCTTTATCACCGCCCCACTTGCCATTGTCCCACCTTGGGAGGTGGCCCACGATGTTCTGGACCGGGGCATGGGGCTGGGTGCTGACAGCAGCAGTTGTGAAGTGGAATGGGAGGGTTCTGAGGGTGGCAGCATTGCCCTCCTGTCCCTGCGGAGAGGGGAGAAGGTCTCCGTGAACTCTGGGGCAGGTGTGGGGAGACCCAGCACAGATCTGGGGTTCAGTGGCGCCTCTCCCCGCCGCGTTTGGCAAGACCCCTGCTCCTCAGTGTGGCCTGGAGGAAGCCAGTCTTGGACCAACATGCTTGCTTCCCCTTTTTCTGCCACTCTTGTGTTAGAGGGACAGCTCTGGAGATCGGGGGGGCGGGGGGGTAACTCCCCCTTTCCACTGCCTATCCAGCCCAGGCAGACGCTCAGAGCTGCTCTGATGGCCCTGCGCCCAGGCCCACCTGTCTCCTGGGGGTGCGGTGGGGAGGTGCCCACCTGCCTAACTGCTTCTAGGACCCCTCCCAGCCCAGCCCTGTGTCCCTGCAGCCTGGGCCTGCCCCCAAACAGAATGGGTCTCCTGGGTGGGCCTGGCTCACCTGCGGCTCTCCTCCCGCCCTCTAGTGGTCTTGCTGCGGAGCCCGAGGGCCCAACGACTGGAACCTCAATATCTACTTCAACTGCACTGACTTGAACCCGAGCCGGGAGCGCTGCGGGGTGCCCTTCTCTTGCTGCGTCAGGGACCCTGCGGTGAGTGGGGTCTGGTGAGGAGGGGTGAGGGCATTGCAGTGTGCAGTCCCAGCCTGGGAAAACCCACCCCAGGGCTCGCTCAGCTCAGCCCGCTCTGGGCGCCCTGGGTGTCTGGGGGAGGTCATTTTACATGGGTGTGCCTGCCAAGCTGGGAAGTTTGCGTCCATGGGCAGCACTGAGGCCTGCTGGGGTGGGGGCCGTGCCTCTTCAGCAAAACCTGTCTCCTTGATGGTAGTGAGATAGAAACGCAGGGCCCCGGGGCACAGGGCCTGGCCCAGAGGGCTCACGCACCCTGTGTTCCCAGCTCAGTGCGGCTCCAGGCAGGGTCTGCTCCTGGCCAGCCTTGACATTGTCTGGGGGCCGAGGACTGGGTGCCTCCCTCAGTCATGAGTGTGTGAGGCAGGGGCTGCCTAGGCCACAGTCAGCTGCCACGCCGCTGGGCCGTCATGCTGGGGTGGCAGGGGGTGAAGGTTCTGATCCTTTTGTGGCTTTCTTCAGAGCAGCAGCTTCTCACCGTGACATCCCTCCTGGCACGGTTCACCCGGGACACTGAGGGCCAGGTTTCTTCCCGTTCTTAGAAAACTCAAGCAGGCAGGATTCCTAAACAGGAGGCAGCTCAAGCTGGCGTGTGCAGCCGTGTGCCCAGGTGCCAGGGGAAGAGGCGCATGGGCCTCAGCAAGCCTCGCTTAGGAGCAGTGGGCGTGGCTGAATCCGCGGTTCTGTCTGCTTCCCCTGAGAAGCAGGAACCATTCCAGTGCTGGGCGCCCCTCACCAAGCCGCTCGTTGGCCTGTTTCTCCTTAGGAAGATGTCCTCAACACCCAGTGCGGCTACGATGTCCGGCTCAAACTGGTGAGAGGGGCGGGAACAGGGCTGGGGGCTGCTGGAGGTGCTGGAATGGGAAGGGGGCCTCCCATAAGCTCCTCTGAAAGGCCTTGGGGATTCTGTGGGGAGGGAGTGTTGAGTCCCAGGGACCATTGAGGCACATAGGGCTCAGTACTGCCAAACACGGGGCAGCGACTGTGGGTACGGGGATGTGTGCATGTGCTCATTCCAATTCTGTTGCCCATCCGCTGGGTGCCCGGCATTGCCTTAGACACTGGGGATTCATCTAATGAGACAAACAGACAGACAGAGGCCCTGCCCTCAAGGAGCTCCCACTCCAGTGGAGAGAGAAAGACACTGATAAGTAAATGTGAACAGTCATGTAACGTTTTCAGCTAAGAGCTTGGAAGAGAATGAAATAAAGGTGATGGGGGTGGGGCTAGGAGGTCAGCCAGGAGGAGGGGCCGTCTGTGCTGAGACCCCAGTGATGAGAAAGAGCCAGCCACGCAAAGGCCTGTGCTAGAGCTCCAGGCAGCAGGTGCTGAGGTGTGGGGCCTCCGGGTGGGCTGAGCTTCGCGTGCTGGACTGAGACGAGGCCCGCAGGGGCAGGCGCGCCAAGCCTGGTGCCTGTGTGTTCCCAGGAGCTGGAGCAGCAGGGCTCTATCCACACCAAAGGCTGTGTGGGCCAGTTCGAGAAGTGGCTGCAGGACAACCTGATCGTCGTGGCTGGGGTCTTTGTGGGCATCGCCCTCCTCCAGGTACTGCCACGGCCCTGCCTGCCCCACCCTGCCCTGGGCCCTCCTGCCCCACTGGCAGCCTCTCCGTTGCCTGCCCTCTGTCCTACAGATCTTCGGTATCTGCCTGGCCCAGAACCTCGTGAGCGACATCAAGGCAGTGAAGGCCAACTGGTGAGGCTGCCACGCTGGCCATGGCCACCCGCTCGGCCTACCCAGGGAGCCCCCACTGTGCCTGTGGGGCTGCAGGAGGTGTTTCTGCTTGGACCCGAGCCCCACATGGGGCTCGCGTGTGGATGTGCCGTGCGCCCATAGAGAAGGCCGTGTGCCTGTGCCTGGGCTGCCTGTCCTGGAGCTGTGTGCATGGAGGGTGGGCGTGCCAGTGGGGTGTGCACAGGGAGCCACTGTCTCCGCTCCTGTTGGGTGGTGGGCTCTCCAGGGGACTAGGAACGGTGCAGGCTGGGACACACTCCTCTGTGCATGGCTGTGGAGCGGGCTGGGGGTCTGCTGTTGTCAGGACAGAGCCACATGTAGCTTCATAACTCTCTTCTCTACTAGCCGTGACCTTGACCCTGCCAGGAGCCCACTTTGGCCTCAGCGTCTCAGATTCTAACCTGGGTCCAAGAATTTTCTCTCCCTTGCTTGCCTCTCAGGATCAAACATGATGATGGCTACAAACTACTCAAATAAACAAAACCTTGAAAGCACTGGCTTCCACCCACCGTCTTGGAGGTTCTGTCAGCGCAGGGCTTCGGCAGAGCTCTCCGCCTGGGGCCTGGCCCAGCCCACCCTGCCAGCGCGTGTTCTCGGCCTGGGTGGTGTATACATTCAAGCCAAGCTTTAACACTTGGTCTATTTCACATGAAAGTCCAGATCTCTGGCTTCTTGTGAAGATTGGCCATCTGGCCACAGTGGCTCTTCAGTGACGACGTCTCCTGGGACATGCGCTTCCTGTTCCCTGAGGCCCCCTGGCTCATTCTGCTCGCCTGAGTGCGGTGCCTGACCTGGTAGCCTGGGGTTGGCCTCCCACGCCTCTGTAGGGTTATTCCCTGTCGACACTGTGGGGCTGCTGTGGGCCAAGCCCGGGGTGAGGCCCAGGAATGTGAAGAACGGGAGGCTGGACCCTGTGCTGAAGAGACAGCCTGGGAGGGGTCTGGCCCTCCTGGGACTGAGAGGCTGCCCGTGTGCCCAAGACTGTGGCGGAGGGGTGGGATAGACATCAGGAAGGCTTTTGGAAGGAAGCATCTGGAAGCCCAGAGCTAGGCACCCCTGGGGTTGGGAGGAGATTGATTTGGGGGCCATGGATGGTTGACTCCTCGGCCCTAGCTTGGAACTGTCTTCCTGGTGGCCTGCAGCACTGCCTCCTGGCCACCAGAGGGCGCGCCAGCACAGCTTTCCTGGTCGGGCTCGGTGGGCCGAGCGTCTGCTGCGGCCCTCCTGGTACTGCCGGTGCTCTGGGCTTTGGGGAGCTGGAAGACTTCTAAAGCAGCGCACTGGCCCAGACTTGGAGTATGGCTGCTGCTCTCAGCTCTGCCTCCTAGCTGCGTGAAGGGCTGTGTGTGGAGTGGCTGTACGCACCCCGCCCCGGGCTGCCCCTGGTGGAGGAGAGGAGGGGTTGGAGCTAGTTCCAGTCTCCAACTCGGATGCCCTTGGAGCCAGGCAGGTTATAGAAGCGAATGACGTAGGCCTTTGAGTTGTGAGGCCTTTGCAGTGCGACTTTGACTTTCCTGCTGTTACTGCAGACGGACACAGAGACATGGCTTTGGGACAAGAGAAGTATCTGCACAATCAAGTTGTAATGGCAACTGGCCTTGAGAGACAATAGGGTGTGGTGGGGACTGTGGCAAAGCACAGGTCCCCACCTGAAGTTGGCGGCTGTCATTGAATTGTAGCTAAGTGCTGTAAAGTGAGAATGCGGGCTAATGCCAGGAATCTGGAGAAACCAGAAATCCAGATTTTTATGTGAGATGTCCTGATTTTTAAGTTGTTGGCAACTAATTAAAAAAATTTTAAAACCCTGCAAGCTGAACGACAGGCTTGGGGCCCCGCTTTGGCCCCTGTGCCCCATAGGTCCCTTTGGGACAGTCACCCGCAGGGCCCTGGCTGCTCTGCCATTCAGGGATGCCGGGAGCTGCTGCAGGGGCAGTGTGTGGGGCACGCACTTTGCGCTGTGGCTCCCAGACACAGGCGGGACAGTGTCCTGGGGTTCCTGACAGGCACCGGCGTGGGCGGTGTCTACGCCTGACAATAAATGCGGCTCACAATGCTGCACATGTGTCTCTCCTTTTCTGATTTCATTTCCTGTCAAACCTCTCCCCTTGTGAGGTGGAGATCCTTTTCCTGATGAAGCTGCAGCTCATGCAGGGGAGGGAGTTCCCCAGAGCACGCAGCGGGAGGAGGCCCCCAGAGCTGACCCCTCTTGGTGGAGTTGTCACCTCACCTATCCTCCCTTCTGCTCCATCTGGGAGAAGCTTGGATCCAGAGCACCCAGTCGGGGTGATGGAGGGGGAGGAGGGCAGGCTCCCACCCTTGAGCTGCGTTCTCGCACGGGGGACAACCAAGTAAGCAAATGAGCATTTGGGTTAGTAATAGATGCTATGAAGAAAGTAAGAGTGACGGGCTAGGTGCAACAGCCAGGGGGCCTGGGAAAAGGGTCCCCTTAATAGGGTGGCCAGGGGAGGGGGTACCGTCTCTGCAAAGCTCCAGGGGAACGGTGTTCCAGGTTTGGTACCAGCTGCCCTAGAGGCCCGGGAGCCTGGGGTGCTGGAGAGGTGGGAGTGGGTGAGGGCCAGAGGATACGGACAGGGAAGTGGTAGGACCAGGATATGTTTGGAAATAGGATAGATGAGATGGGATAGGAATGACTGATAGGAGTGGTCGCGACCCTGGCTGGGAACCCGGAGTTCTCCAAAGCGTAGTTCTGCTATGGTACGTCCACCCACCCGCTCATCTGTTCATTCATTCATCCCCCATCTGCTGGCGGCACTCAGGTGGCCCTGGCTGCAGGCGGGCGGCTCCAGCTTGCCCTTGCCTCCAGGAGCCTGCAGTCTCTTGGCAGAGGCACACGGGACAGTTGCTAGTGGTACAGTGTGTACGTGGTAACCAGCACGTGATGGTCACTGCTAGGTGGTGTTTCGCGCTGGCTAGAGACAAATTTCCTGTCCCCAGAGTAGAACTTACAGCAATTATTTTCCTTGCACTGAGGAACCCTTACCCAGATGGGGACACCTCCAGACGTAGAAAAAACAAGTTCATAAGGCTAACCCCTGTCCATCCTTTTAGGTGGGTCTGTGGCCCATGGGGACCAAGGTCACCCTCCTGCCCTCTGTCAGGGAGGGGTGCACACTGGTGACGACATGGGTGGACATTGTCCGGCAGCCTGGGAGCCCCCCAGGAGCCGTGGGCCTGCCTGGTCTAACCAGAGGAGAGGCTGCTAGCGGCTCCCCCTTCCCGTGGAGGGAGGGCATCCTGTGTCCTCAGCCTACCCCAGAGAGAAGGCCAGAGGGAGAGACCTGAAGGGACTGAGGGAGCCTGAGCTGGTGAGCCCTTGGCTCTCTGGGTGAGGAAGTCAGATGGGCGAGGGAGGCTGGGCCAGGGTCCCCTCTCAGAGGATGGCCAGCAAGGCTAAGGCTGCGCAGACCTCGGAGGGAGCCACTCCCGGTGACCACCAGAGGGCACCAAAGTATAGCCCGCACAGAACAGCAGGATGGGCTGCTGGTGCGGAGGGGCTGTAGGTGTGGGGGTGACTGGGGGAGGCCCCTGTGGCTGAGTGAACACTGCCACTGTTCCAGAGATGCGGGAGCCCAGCCTGTTGGTGTCAAGTCCAGGCCCCTGTCTCCTCCGGGGACTTGGGGCAGATGACACTGCCTGCCCCACAGATGCCTCTCCCAGTGCTCAGGGAGACCCAGCCCCAGGCAGTGATGTCTGCCAGCCAGAGCTGGGGGGTCATTCCCTCTAGGAGGCCAGAGCAATATGCTCCACCACACACCCCTCCATTCCCCCAGTCAGCCAGATTGATTGGGCACTGCTGTGTGCCAGACACTGTTGTAGGCACTTGGGATACAAAAAGGGACAACATGAAGACCGCCCCCCCACCCCCGAGCCCCTGGAGTCCGCGCCTTTGTCTGCAAAGGGCTAAAGGGTAAATATTTAGGCTTTGGGGCCAAAGAACTGCTCAGTTCTGCCTTAATAGCAGAAAGCCGCTCTTAGACAAGCAAATGGTCATGGCAGTGTTCCAGTAAAATGTTCTGGACACTGAAAATTGAATTTCACATAATTTTCATGTGTCACAAAATATTATCCCTCTTTTGCTTTTCAACCATTAAAAAGCATAAAACCATTCTTAGCTCTGGAGCTATATAAAAACAGGCAGTGGCTGGATTTGCCTCACGGGCTCTGCCCTCTGCCCCAGGAAAGGAGAAGACCCTACACAGGGGCCTGGTAATAAGCAGTCCCCTGGGGAGGGTGGGTGCCGTGGAAATGTCAGAGCACCGCGCCCTGGGAGTGGGGGTGGGGCCAGCCTCGGGGTTTAATGGGGCAGTCAGAGGGGAGCTCGCTGAGAAACAGAGATGGAGCAAAGACACAGTTTTTTAAATTATTTTGATAGCACAGTAAAATAGGAAGCCAATCTACTTTAAAAATGGAAGAAACAAAAGTCCTCTCGCTGCCCCATTCTGTTCCCTTCCCAACCGCTCCCCCAGCGTCATCACTGCTGTGAGCTGTAGATCCTTCCAGACATTTTACATTTTTACAACTTTGCACTCAAATTACATACCGGTAGAAAATGTCCAGTATCATTTTGTGTGTGCATTAAATGGAGAATGTTGTCCCCATCTTGCTGTGCCTTCTTTTCCACCCCCCATGACGTGTTTTGAAGACCTCGTCATGTCCATGCACGTGAAACTGCTTCGTTTCGCCTGACCGCGGGTGGCTCCCCACTGGAATGAGCCATATTTTGCTTCTCCGACCCTTCCCCTGTGGATGGTGGATAGTCAAGCCATTTCCAAGTTGGGGCAGACGGCAGAGGTGGTCCCAGCAGGTCTCTTTCCGGGCCCAGGGGCTTCATTTCTGCTCCTCAGCCCATGCATTGACCCGATGGGCAGTGTTATCACAGATCTGGAGGCCCGGACCTCAGCCCAGCAGAGGTGTGATAGCCACACAATTAACCCTGTGGCACTGCTGAGGCTGTTGCCATGGTAATTCCTCCCTGGTCACCTGTGCCGCTGTGCAGGCAGATGGGGACCCTGTGTACAGAGGGGCCTCCACTGTGGCCCGAGCAGCCAGCCTTTGACAGAAGCTTCCTTAGCCACCCCGAGGCCTGGACGCAGCTGGACACCTGGGTCCTGCTTCAAGGGATAATCCTCTCTGGGAGTTAGCTCTCCAGGCTGCCTCTCCCCGGGCCAGACCCTCTCCAGGCTGCTCCAGCCCCAAGCTGTAGGGGTCTTCCGGGAATCTCCTGGGGGCAGGCGTCCAGCAGAGGAGGCATGCGGAGTGCCAGCTGCTCGCCTGCCAGCCCTGGACCTCCATATGCCAGGCTGTGCTGGGCACTGGGAATTTGGCAGCAGTTCCAACATAGTTCCTGTCCTCAGGGGGTTCATAGTCTGGGGGGGGCCGCAGATAGGTGAATCACCAGTTTTTACAAGAGATTTATTTGTTTGAATAGGTGGTGCAGGCATGTAGTTAAAAACTGCAAACTGGGGTCAGCCCGGTGGCTTAGTGGTTAAGTTTGTGTTCTCCACTTGGGCGGCCTGGAATTCGCAGATTCGGATCCCTGGTGCGGACCTACACATCGCCCATCAAGCCGTGCCGTGGCAGTGTCCTACATGCAAAATAGAGGGAGACTGGCACAGATGTTAGCTCAGGGACAATCTTCCTCACCAAAAAACAAAAACAGAAACCCCCCTGCAAACCACGTGGAAGGATGTGTACACATCTCCCTGTCACCCCCGTCTCCTGGTCCCCTTCCCCTCCCCGGAAGCAGCCACTGTTCTCGGTTGTGTCCGTGTCCTCCAGGAGACAGCCGGTGCTTTCAAAAGCAGATCTCAGGAAACAAAGCAAGCCAGAACCCAGTTCACACACTGTGCCACGGTGGCCTCTCCACACGCTCTGCTGTTGGCATTTTCTCTGACCAGCGTTTCTGGGAGGTAATTGCGTATCGTGGCTCTGGTGGTGTAGTGGTTGAGATTCCGCATGCTCACCACTGCGGCCGGGGCTCATGTTCTGGTCAGGGAATTGCACCACCCATCTGCTGCTTGTCATACTGTGACGGCTGTGTGTTGCTGTGATGCTGAAAGCTGAGCCACCAGTATTTCACATACCTGCAGGGTCACCCATGGTGGACAGGTCTCAGCGGAGCTTCCAGACTAAGACAGACCAGGAAGAAGGACCTGGCCACCCACCGCCAAAAAAACTGACCACGAAAACCCTATGGATAGCGGCAGAGCATTGTCTGCTCCAGCATCGGGAGGTGAGAGGATGGCGCAAGAAGCCTGGGCAGGGTTCCGCTCTGCTGTCCGCAGGGTGGCTGGGAGTCAGGATCGGCTCAACAGCGCTCACAGCAACCATTACACATCTGTAGTGTAGGTCCACCCAATTCTTTTCAACAACAGCAAACCGATAATGTAGCAAGAACGTGTGCTTACTGGACGCTTGATGCTCCTCTCAGCGCTCTGTCTGTATTAGCTGGCTCACTCCTCACACGGTTCAGCCACGGCCTCGGCCTTGCTTATCTCGCCTGACAGCAAGGAGGTTGGGACACCCGCCGCCAGAGGCGGCCTGGCTGGCCTGCAGGGCGGCCCCTGGTGGGCGTGCAGGATGTCTCCAGGCAGTGAGCACCCCACACTCTTATCTTTGGGCACTTGTATCTCGGAGGATAAATGCTTGGAAGTGGATGGCTGGGTTAAAGGGCAAGTGTGCTTTTAATTTGCAAACCTATTGCCAAATTGCCCTCTGAAGAGGTCACAGCCCGTGAGTAAGGGGCACCTGGCCCTACCGCTCCACAGCTAGAGCGGCCACTGCCTTTGTCCATGTTTCTATCTCTGCCATTCTGGTAGAGGAAAACTGTCTCTCTCCATGGTTTTCCTTTGTGTTGCTCTTATGAGAGGTCCAGTGTCTTTCCATACAGATCGGCACACTCTGGTATAGTCAGAATTACACAGAGCGAGGTCCAAAGGGCCTGGGGAGCCACAAGGCTGGAGGGGATCTTCCGTCTGGGCTGAGGGTGGAGGTGGTCTGGGCGCACTGCGGGTGGAGACATCCGAGCTGGCCCTTGG